CTTATCTTGGTCAAATTTACTTAAAACCCAATTATATGTTTCTAATGCACTACAGATTGTTGTTATAAATTCTGGGTATGATTGAATTATATTAAATTCAACATCCTCTTTTTTAGTGTTCACTAAAATAAAAAACAAATATAAAAAGAATTAAGATATTGTTATTTATTATCTATAGTTATCACGAAAATATGGTTTACTCATAAATATTAAATATCAGGCTTAACCTCGAATACTATGTGGAGACAATGTTCTGAAATTTTGCTATCGAAACATTCATCGATCATTTTTATCGAGTTAAGACAGTCCTCTTCATTAAATGGAAATTGCTGGAGTGCATTGACCCAGTCTATTCACTTTCCAGAGTGCAAGCTCAACACAGTCAACACTATCAACCTGAGGAGAAGTTTTTTTAATTTCTTCTTTAAGTTCATAAATTTTTTTACTTTTCTCAATTTTAATAAATAAAGTTCCAATATGAGGATTGTTGCTTTTTAGCAAGCAAGCAAGTTCAAATATCTTTGTAAAAATATATTTATATATAAGTAATAAGCTTATATTGACTAATTTCTTTCAATTAATATGTACATATGTACCTGTTGTTCTGACATGAAAGTTTACCAAATGTACCAAGCAGTGAGAATAATTTTTCTATACAGAACAGTGGTGATAGTCAAAACAAATGTGGTTTGCTTTTTAAGTAAAAAGTTGTGTATAAAATTAAACCACATTATAGTTAGGATTAGGGTTAAGTCTATTGGTAAAATTTCACAGAGAATCTTTTTAGTTAGACTGCAGAAGGTGGTTTCTTAATTAAAATTTAGAGCTATTCTTGTTTTTTGTAAAAAAGTGGCTTCGTGATTTTTACATTATACCTGATCCTGAAATTCGATTGGCCAATATTACAGGGGATAACCAATTTTTTGTGGGATAGCCACCAAAAAGTTACAGACACCTGACTATATTTGCATCTATTTATTTGTGCCAATTGAAGATTCTATCGCTATTAATAAATTCTAAATCTTCTAGCGATAGTTTTTAATAATTACTTAATTAAAGTTGATAAAAATTTTTTTTATTTTAATTGTATAAGACTGTTGCTAATTTTCACTCTAGGTGATATTGTTGCATGTCACTTTATGATTCTCTTAGGTTTTAAATTAATATGTCAATTTAAAATTTATACCGATTGAAATAACTTATAACATGTGTCAATATTTTACTGTGCTTAAATTTATTGCAATTTGCAACCCGGAAATGTATACCAGGTTGCGCTCCGGATGATCACATGATTGTCCGAAATATTTCTTTTCACTAACGCTAACGATAATTATAGTCACATAATAATAAGTATATATTTATAAAAGCTTTTATATTATAATCAATTTTTTTTATATATATTAATTTTATTTATCCAAACCAAGCGATTTTTAGGAAGTCTTTGGAAAAATTAGATAAAAGAAGTATACGTAGAATTTGGGTCCCAAGATGCAAATTAGTACAGGAATGGGAAATGGAAAATAGAATTGCGCCAAAAGATAAAAAAAGATTTCATGAAAAGACAAGAAAGAAGAAGAAGAAGAAGAAGAAACCACTAAACGGGCATATCATTAAAAGAAAGAAAGATGAAAATGAGAATAAAAGGTGGTTGTCAGTTCTAGAAATAACCAAAAAAGAAGTGGCAAGGTGGATTGTAGAAGAACAACGTTCAGATTGGTGGAAAATAGATATATGGTCTTGACAGACGGTAAAAACTAGCTGTTGACGTATTATCGAAGCCAATTGCAGGATAAGGTAATACAGAGGCAATTCTTACTATAGCAGGTCGCACAT